TTCAGTCGTTATGTTCCGCACGGCTACACTAACTGGTGAGTAGTGGTGAGTAGTGGAGGATCGCCCTGCGACTTGTATCGTAGACACTGATCTCTATTATACTAACTATTTAGTAATTATTTAGTATAATAGAGATCAGTGATCATAGATCTACCTACTGAGCCGTTACCATGCGCACAGAGGGAGATGTCCTTTGGAAACGGAAGTCTGGTCTTCTCTTAACCATTCGTACCCACGTAGCCGTGTGAGCAAGTCACAATAAATGCATTGGGCCCATGTGCGATATGTAGGCCTATATAGATGCTCACGATGTAAATGTTCACACCGGCAAATATACGATGCAGGGCCTAAAGAAGGCTACAGCAATAATGTGGGCACAATATTGCTATCATATATCTGTATTATACCTACAAGTGGGATATAATCACCGGTTATGCACTTGCGCGTAATCTAGTCTACCTGCATGGAGATCATCCATCCAGAGAAATATGATACAAGATTGCGTGGCACAGCTTTGCTGATTGATCCTGAGCGCTGCGCGCGGATAATACGCGCAGTTCCGCGGGATATGTGCACGCGACCGCGGGGATGTTCAAGTATGAAGCGCTGTCTGCAGTGGAGACGTGCGCCAAATTCGAGGCCCGGCGCACGTCTCCACAGCGGTCAGCGGATGGTCTGTAGTTTTAGAAGATAACAATGAAGACTTTGTTCTAAATAAGAACTATCGGCGGCTAAATATGAGCAATATACAGACCTTTGAATTTCTTTACTAGTCAATCAAAGGGCTTGTTGGGGTCCATTATGCAGAGCTTCCAATTGAAATGGCCTATTAAATTTGAGTTTGGCAACCAAACGCATCTAAACAAATGTGTCTTGCGGCACTTAAATCTTTTCTACAACAGCAAAATCTGGCAATACTTGATTTCTTTAAGGTTGTGATTTTATCATATGCAGAGAATTCAATTCGATGCGCGGAAATGCGATGTAACCATCCATGAGCCCCGCCCAATGAGTAGAGACGCCGAACAAAAGGCAGACAAGTCGCAGAGCTGGTTCATGTGCCTTGTCGTTTTCCTCCTTCACGCGCTTGGCTGAGTAAGAAGACAATTACGCAGCGATTTTTAGCCGCGGGTCGCGCGTTATATGCTTATGTGCGTCGCAGATGCCGACCAGCGCTCACAGCGTGGCTATGCAATCATAGCATGCATAATTAAAGACGCATTTATCAGTCAGGTCACGCGGCGCGGCGTCCGCAAGATCTAACGACCTATGACTGGTATACCGATCCGTAATATACACAGGATTGACAACCAGAAAAGAAAACTTGCTCTACAATGCGATATTGTATCGCCGAACACGAAGCCTGGCTACATAACCTGCCTGTAGTAACCGATTACACGCTGCTAATCGAAAATCAGTATGTTTATAGCACTTAGCAACAGCAAACATAGAGTCACCGCGGACTCCAGACTGTACTAATGTCAACCAAATCTGCGACTGAGGGAACCCGCAAGGATTTGATGTCACGAGAAATTTAATTGCCTCAAATATTTGTCCTGGCTTGCAAACAAACAAATGCAGCAAGTGAAATTTTTTAGATTTGAAGTGGGAGGAGTCTAAGGTAACTGGTACACCTCCCCCTGCCGGCAGGCCGCAAATGCTCTGCCCTATTCTAGGCGGAATAGATTGCCTTGCTCACTATTATTGCAACAGCGTGTCCGAGAAGGTATTTGAAGCGCAAATTATGCAGCGTGATGTTTGGTCTGAATTTAGGCAACGGCCGACTGGTAATATAACTGGGAACGAGAAATAGTTATTATGCAGTTTAATTATTTGTTTCGTAGAACACAAGTATACGAGAAGCTTTTCCTTAATAATTTTCATCCGAATATGCTCCATTAAAGATTTATAAAGCGGTATACCACTATCCCTGCGCAGCTACCCACTGACTATGATTACATCGGTTGCTGGGCAGCTCCCAGAGTACCCTACCCTGTAAGTGCTACGCTGCTCATATTCACGTCCTCTTTATCGCAGTTCGCTGAACTATGCAACAACGGTTTGATCCACCCGTGTCCATAGATAATCGAAGATGTTTATGGAAGCAACGAGAACAAAACGTAGTCGATGAAGTCCGATACTTTATTTTGAAGCGTACAATAAATCTATATACGAGAAAGGGAATAGAAATACAACAAGAAGATTATAGCTACTCGGTTACTACGCCTTACCATTCACATATCATGCAGGCAATCGTATGAAGTTATGCGCCAGCGCGCATATAATATACTGTAACTGTCATCGCGGCGATGAGAGCATCTTTAGCATCAGCGTTTTTTGCGTGACGTCGCTGATGGTTAGAAAAAGAAGGTATTCGATATATTAGCGCTTTCCACCTGCATCGAACCGATAGACATTTTTATCAGGACGCAAGTTTAGATATATTATGATGATGAAAGTATTCCACTAGACGCAACCAGAACCGCGTGGATCGAATGAAAAAAACCTCCATGACTTAGCCAATGAAGCAATGTTTTTTCTAAATTAACATCCCTCCAGGGACTATAACTCATTATAAATAAAAAACCACAAACATCATAAGTTGAAAAATGCAAGGGATATCTTTGTGAATGGAATTGATGGCAAACGACATTACTGCGTTTAATGTCGTTGCACATAATATGAGGGAAACGGGCAGACACGTCTCCCAAGAATCACCTATATGCCTATCCAGAAGTAAAGTATCTCAATGTGTTTAAATGAGAAATTTACCATAATAATTGTCACGAAATTACGATACTCGGAATATGAGCCCAATGCGCAGAAGCGCTTATTAGAATAATCGTGATCTAGGGGGTTTTGTTGAATCATTATTGTATTTTAATCAGTATATTGCCGCGTGACAAATCCGCTTAGTAAATATCCTTATTTGTTTTCTACATTTAATCTACGCGTGAATTACTGCGGCACACATCACAATACATTTATAATGCTAC